AAAAAGAGGTCTGATCAAGACTTGTTTAGATTCGATAACGTTGTGGTATGTTTCGAAGATGAAGTCACTGCTTATTTCCAGCCCAACATGATCAAGAAACTCACTGGGGTTAAAGCCAAGGAGTTCGTTGTGTGGATTTCGCTCGGTGAGATTCATGTAAACCGTCCCTCTGGTTTGATTACTTTCAAGACGCAGGTTGGTTTATTGTCTAAGTCGTTGCCTTTGTCGGTTTTTGAAGACGTTCAAGGTAATCATGGTGTTATGGAGAAGCCTAAACAGGATCAACAGAAACTCAACGAAACCAAAATCTATTTGTATTAAAAGAAAAGAAACAGAAGAAACCAAATGTATATATGTATTTGTACCTTTAGTTTTTATTCATACAAATAAACAAAAGAAAAATGTAGAAAATGCAATATAAACATTTACATATAGAGTAAGGTGTCTCTCTCTGCTCTAAGTAACTTCAAAAACTCTCTAGTCGATGGGTTACAGTCTTACTTACAGACATAGTAAATGCCATTTTCAGGAATGCTAGAGAATCTGTGTGTTCGATTACGCATCTATGGAATCAGGATAACAGGAATATAGAGAGAATCGGATTCAGCTTTTAATCTTGGCAAAGAGAAATCGAATTGCGCGAGCTTTGAACAAGTATGATGGGGGAATGACGGAGCACCTCCCCGCTTTGTCTATTTTAGGCCCAAGGCCCAGATGTGTTACCAATAAAGATGAATAAAATATTTCGGCCTTAGGCCCATATATCAACAGAAAGATGAATTGCACAAAAAAGAGCATCATTATCGGAGGTAGGTATCTTCCCAAAAGACTTTTGTGATTATTAAATTAGTTATTTAGAATAATTTTATTTTGTTATTTAATTTTATTTTTAAAACAAAATTGAACTAATGATAAAATCTTTCAACATTTAGTATTAATCTCTCTGCCAAAAATTGTTTCTCTTATTTACTATCATCTCTTTTTTATTTTTTTATTATTATTAAATTTGGTTAGATAATCATGTTTTTTTAACCGATGATGGTGCTCTTATATAAAATGGTGGTTCTTCATTCTTAATGGTTCTTATTTGCTTAAATCCCTCCAACTTATATGATCTCTTTTAAAATATTAATGGTAAAATATTTAATTTGTATACAAAAGTTTAATTGCTTACTTATTAACAAGAAATTGTTTTACTATACCATAAACTAAAACAGCAAATTTCAGTTTAAACCACTTTTAAAAAGTTTTAGAGTTTTTTTTTTGTTTTTCTTTTATAAGGTTTACAACACTAGTCAATAGGTTTTAGTAAATATCAGAGGGAAGACATCGACCTCCCTCTGCTTCTACCCTAGTCAACTTGCCCAGGACTCCAATGTTTCTGGAACTTGACACCTTCACAGCAGAACATCTAGCATGGAAATGCTTAGGATACTGGTGTTTGTCTTTAAACCTTTGAATTCCATTCTACTTGTATTATCTCCAAATACTCCATTATTAATATAAAATTAGCGTTAACAAATCTAGACAGTTTGAGTTAAACCTTTTTTTTTTGTTAAATTAATAGGCAGTTCGATAAATAAAAATTTAGTAAACAAACAACTATAGTAGATTAGTGATACCGATACTGAGTTGAAACTTAGGATTCTTCCACCAATGAACATAGTCGGTTTTGAGATTTTAGGGGTCCTAAACGATTTTTTTTTTTTAAAATAGCAAAATTTTCTTTTAAACTAATTTTAGGGTTTAAAAAAGTTTTCTTGGAACATGTATATAAAAAAATTTTAAAAAAATTTGAGGATCTATTGCGAATGTTTCAATAAACTTGGTCGGGATCGGCCTCGCCCATGAAGAATATTTGTGACGTCTTCTTCTTGGGCCAACCTTATATTATATGTAGCCATTACGTCTACTGTATATAAAAAAATGTCTAATCGTCTACCTAACGTATATACATTTATATAAATAAAATAAACATATAAAATCACAATGCATGTATAGTATAGATGCATGCATATAATGGCGATAAATTATTAAAGGGAGTGGAAAGTGTAGTTGAGGAGAATGCTTTTGTCGTAACTCGGTAACTTTGTCTCAATGATTTGTGTCTTTGGTCACATCAGTTTCCCTATCTTCCTCAGGCAACTTAAGTTGCTTCTTTACTTCTTCAATTTTTTTGTCTCACTTTTGCCATTTTCCATATGTTTTTTTAAAACTGATTGATCATAATTTCACATGCCTTTATTCACGAGTATATGTATCATATTTTAATTGGCATTTACGACATAACAACGACATTAAGATTATCTTACTTAATAATCTCATGGCGCACGCGTGACTTTTCTTTGTCTGGAAGAAGGCTCTCTACAAGAAGATTCATGCCCGAGGGTATGATGTTTTTGCATAGGTCCAAAATATCTTTAGATCTTGTCCGACATTTTCCGAAGATTTCGGTCTCTCATCAATGTTGACCATGTGTCCGACATTTTGATGTTAGCAAGTGTTTTATTTCCATAACTCTGATTCTTATTAGAACGAGCATACATGATGATCCGTGACATTTTTTTTTTTTTGAAAATGCACTTCAGATATATTAAGCCATAAACCAAGTTACTAAATGGGTTAAATGATCTTTAGAAGAAATTACTTGTCAATGAGCATTGAACAAGACACATGATTTAATTGGATATGATTATAGGCTTAAGTATTTATTTTCTAATATTTTGGCAACATATGTGTATAAGTTTTCTCAATATAGAGATATCTTGTCAAATGTGTGAAAGAAAACATACAGTAATGTGATAATTTTTTTGTTTCATACAGGACAAACAAAAGATTGTACACACACACACACACATATATATATATACTTGCATCTCTATATATAGCAACGTCCGTGCGTGTATTGACCATATATCTTTACAAAAATAATTCATGCAAACCAATCACTATCTTTTCCACTCAGGTTATGGATGAATTTGAAAGCATTTCATGGATGGAAGAACCATCAAAATGTCATGATCGAGGTATAGACACAAACGACTAGTTAATTAGTTATGTATATCATTGACTTATGTAATTGCTTATTATTTATAGGACAAAAAGGCTATTTCAAGAAGAAGAAGAAGGTGATCGTAACTTGTTCTTCTTCATGATCATATCAACGGCTCTATCTTACCCTGAGCTTTTTTTTTTAAACTAGTATATCCTCTACTGCTTTTTCTTGACCTTGTAAGACCTTTTCTCTACCATTTTCTGTCTTCTTACCATTTCCATCTTCTAGATTTCTCGGTTATGTCCAGTTTCTACATTAGTTGATTGTCTCTACTAAGTTGAAGAAGATTTTGTTGTAAACTTATAGGGTTCTTATTCTCTCTCCTTTATTTGTCCCTCCTGAGCTACCTAAACTTCTTCACGAATCTCTTTACTGTGTATTGTTTTAATTAAGAGAATTTAGAGTGTTTGTAAACACGTTCTAATGCAATAAAATAACAATTTTGAATTTGTGATTATAAGTAATTTAATTTGATGGTATAAGAACATTAGTTCGATATTGAATATTGTTATTTCTCATTTTGTTTCACATGTATGGTTTTGGGTTCAAAATCAGATAGTGTAATCGCAATTACATAAGAGACTAGCACTTTTTACCGCATACATGGAAAATCTGAACTATGAATAGCTTGGTAGCTTAGCGGTTGCATTCGCTAATTTGAGTAGTGTAGCGTTGAGCTAAAAATGTAAAGGAAAATAGTCTGAGATACTAAGTGAGGAAGGTCTAGATAAAACATCAAAAGAACCATATAAAATTGTTGTAATCCAATAAAAACTGTGATTTTTCTGTATCAATTCTAAATAAGTAAAAACCCCTAAATTGATATTTATAATACTTTTCGTAGCGAGTAAATATATGTTTATATTTTTCATCAACATCTACAAAAATTAAACATATAATATTTTCAGTAGATAACTACAGGTTGTTATACTATATATTTAGATATTCATATACTATACTGTCTATGTAAAAGAGTTGGAGATAAGAAGACACACTACTTCCTCTTGATGACGTGTTACAGTGTGAGGAAGGCATTTTCTGGATAATGGTGGGATCGTCCGTACAATAATGGTGTTCAATTAAAAATTCAGATTTGCACGCGTTAATGGTGGAATTATCATCACTAAGCATATATTTTATTCACTAACTAAGTTAATAATTATTACATTCTCCCAAGAATAATAATAGTCCCCACGATGGCCACCTTAAAACTCAGACATCACCATTAAGATATATTGCCACATGGAAATACAGTAACACAACCAAAAAGCAAAGTTTGGATAGTATACTTTTTGAACCCAAAGCCTTTCGGTCTCCTTTTTTCCATATACAGGTCCCATAGACATGCTTCCTAAAAGCATCATCAGTTAGATATCTGGATTATCCATTTTTCTCATGTATCATGCCAAAGTCATTATAATATATATACTTTTTGTTTGCTTCTGTGACATATACTGAGTTAGAGCAACATTATTGGTGTCCTTAGCCATGGTCTTAGTTAATAAATGAATTATGTTTATATTATATCATGCTTTCATGAAGGAAATTTTACGATTTTCTCTGTTTCAAAATAATTTATGTTTTAAGTTTTCCATATTTATTAAGAAAAATAATAAAACTTAGTTATTAATGCATAATTTTTTGTATTTTATATTTTTCATATTTTTAAACTAATAAGATTTCAAAAAATGCAATTAATGTTTTTGAAATTTACATTTTTTCATTATTAGTTGATAAAAAATATTGAAAATCTAAAAAATGCATATTTTTGAAATACAAGTTTTTTCTAGAATATGCATCTTTTTGAAACAGATGAGATATTTAGTTAAAACAAAATCTTTTAATTAAGTTCACAAACGATAATAAGGAGATCTAGCTATTAATTTGATTTCAAATTATCTTAGAAATTAGCATCATAATTATAATGCAGTATAAAAATCTCAAAGGAACACACTAATTAATCACATTTACTCCAAAAATAACAAAAATTTATATATCTAAAGCTGCAAATATTTAAGAAACCCTCCTTTCAAATATAAGCTTTGTCTTTCCTTAAACACAAATTCTTTCACACGCTAATTAACATTGCACTTCACTATTCTTTTTCTTACTTTTTTCTTTATAAATAATTATTTTGTCTATTTAGAAGCTTCCATTATTCAGAAGCTGCTGCTGTTGTTGCTGTAAGAGCCAAAAGTCTTCATCACTTCCAATGTTCCAGACACTGTCCGAATAAGAAGGTATAATTCCATTAATATTTTCAAACAAGTTAGGATAACTCTGCTCCTGCATCGCCGCTAAATAGTTCTGTGATGGCGTTGGTTGTGGACCCACCAAACTCTGATCCGGATCATAACTAGTTTCAGTCTTTCCCACTTCACTTCCCATGTTATACTCCGTCAAACCGGACGCTGGAGATACTGTCACGCTTGAAGTTCCCGGTGTGACTTTACCACTAAGGTTGCTCGTTAAACCTAAATGGTCCATATTGGTATTGTTGTTGTTGACTCCTTCATCGTATGAAGGCATCACGGACTGATCTGTGGGGGTGGGTACGCAAGACGTGGCAGCAGAACAGGTGGAGGATAGAGCGGAGGCGGCTTGGATCCGCTCTACGAGACGAGGCATCCAAAGATACTTCATGGTGTCTTTGAACTGTTGACTGTTCACGTCGCATCTAAGCTGTTTTGCATGCTTTTGCACACGTGTTCTCCAGTAGTTTTTGATCTCATTATCTGTTCTTCCAGGTAAATATTGTGCAATCTTAGACCATCTAGAATCATAGGAAAATATATTATTGTATTAGTGACTATAGTTGTGACGAAATTCTATTTCGTAAAAAATATAATGAATTGATGACTAAAGACATGATGTTATATATACATATGATAATTAGTCTTTGTGACCCAGTTGTTGTAAATACAATTGATCTAAGACTTGTTTTAAATTTGAAAAGTACCTATTGCCCCAACGGGAGTGAAGTTCAAGAATTAAGAGCTGTTCTTCGAGGGTTATGTTTCCACGGCGGACGTCTGGCCGGAGATAGTTCAACCACCGTAGTCTGCAGCTTTTCCCGGTCCTTTTGAGTCCTGTTTAAAATCGGAAGATACTATTGTTAAACATATTCAACATGTACACGTATACTGTATGAGGATTTCATACGCAAGAAACTCATTGCAAAATGATCATATATTTTATAGAGTTATTGAATTTTTACTCTAAATTATATGGACCGTTGCTATGAGGCAAATGGTCTAAAAGGGTGTTCTTCTCCAGCAAACTTTCTTTCATTGCGTTAGTGCTCTTCCCATATAGATGTTGATCTATTTGCATTAGTTATTTCTATTTATATATACGCGAATATATAGTTACTATTATCCAAAACCTAGAGTTTGATTAAATTATTGAAACCATATTGAGATTCGAAAATAATAATCACTGATTCCCCATAAGGTATCTTTCATTTGTGCGAGTAGCACAAAAATGGAGTAGCGAATTGGTCCAAAACACACATGGAAATCGAAATATGACAAGAAAAAAACAAAAGATAACAAAAAAAATTTAATAAGCTTATGCAATTTGTGATAGTTTGGCTTTTGATTTATTTTTAATAAAGAGCACATTCATACACACGAATGATTATGTTAGTGTTTATACGTGTGTACGTAGAGTATCATACCTGCAAAACGAGCTAGAGAGTTCCATCGACCTTCACCAAGAGTAGAAATGTAATTGCTGAGCTTGTAATCTTCCTCAACAGTCCATGGACCTCTCCGTAGGTCCATTTCGTCATCCATGTTGTTCTCGAAGTCCCCAATGTTCTTGCTGATCTCTAAGCTTCTTTTGCCATCCATATTGAAACAGAGAGACCCACAAAGAGAGATTTAGATAAAAGATCGAGACGTTGTACCTTTTCTCTGTTTGTCTAAATGAGAGAGAAGCACTTTATGTTGGATTGATGTGTGGAGAGAGAAGAGATGTTGTTTCTATCCCCAGGGAGAGAAGCAGAAGTTGATGGTTTTTATAGACGAACCAAAAATAATGATAATTTTTCCAAAAAGCTCATTTCTTTAAATTATTTGCAACATGTGGAAAGAAAGAAGCATAAACGGCCGCAATATAAGAATTTTGTTTCCAATAGCATATATTATAATAGCAAGAATTTCATAATAAGATCCCAATTATTAAACGACACACGTTGTTATTGTTGTGTTTAGAACTTCTATACAAATACATGAGCAAAGGTTTTTTCCGAGTACTGAATTTGTTGATCACCATGTAAGTTTTCAAGGATGAATTAAAATATTCATCCAGAACTCTTCATCTTCTTGAACTTCGAAGTGTTCATCATCCTGATCTTTTATAGTTTGATAGACTTGGCAAGTAATTTGTAGCCAAGCATCCCCGATCGGTTCTACTCGGAGTTACAAAACTCGTCAACATTAAACTATATATGCCGCTAAACAGTTCGTTCCCAAACAGGTTATATTATTCTCCTTATTTTAGATTTTTGTTTGGTTCTATATGATTTTGGTAGCTAATTTTAGATAGCGCATACATGAATTATATTTGAAAATGCTAAGGGTGTTTCACATGTTATCGTGTTAGAAACTTACTATATACATGTAAGTATGGGGAAGCCTGAAACTATGTTTTTTTTTTGAGACATTAAAATACTTATTTAGTTTATGTTTATTTGAATTGCGTTTAACATTAAAGTATTATTATTATAAATTATTATTTTTAACATTAAAGTATTAGTTAGTTTATGTTTACTTAAATTGCGTTTCAACATTAAAATAATTATTTGATTGGAAGCTCAAGCATGTATGATACCATAGTCCAGATTGATTGAAGTGGAGAATACAGTGGATTCTAAAGAAAAAATCATTCTGAAATGAGCCAAAAATGACAAAAGAATATTATGATAAAAAATATTAAAAAAAATTACTCCATATGTTTCAAAAGATCAGAAAAAAAATATTTTTAAAATACTTTTCTTCTACATTTTCAGTTCATTACTTAATGATAAATTGTAAATTTCAAAAATGATAATTTTTTTTATTAAAATTGTATTAAGTAAAAGTTGTGGAAAATAATTAACTGAAAAAACAATCCATTAATAATTAAAATCTTATATGATCTTTTAATATGTTTGAAAATTCTAAAATTATATATTTTTTGAAATAAATAGTATATATGAAATAAAGACACTCAAATACTATATGTATAGAGATTAAAACCAAATCTACTATATTATTTATTTCCAACTAATGTTGAGATGAAAACGTTCACGATAGTTAGATCACAATACTCTGGTTCGTGATCAGACTAGGAATAAGGAACATAATAAACATTATTTACAGGTGTATATGTACATCTCCAACAAAATTAACTGCCGCTGCCTCCAAGCTGGGAGAGTCGAATATGTAGTTTTATGATGTTGATCTTTAGATTTCATCACTGAACTCTAAACTAAGATCATAATCGAAACCGTACAAAAAAGAATTAAATAATAAACTATGCAAATAGTAAGAAGGGGTTTTTGCCAAAACTAACCTACAACTTGGTTTTAACCCCAATACTAGACCCAAACTTCAATCAAATGCAAATCTAACCTAAAAGTGGTATGAAATTACAGTATAGTCCTTTGTGACCAAACAAAAAAACAGAAGATATTTTTACGAATTTAGCCTCTGTAAGTTGTCTGAGTCAGATTGAGCTAGTTTTCAG